AATAAAGTCTAATTAGTAGTAGTACTGTTACTATTACTGCTACTGCTGCTGCTGCTGCTGCTGCTGTTGCTGCTGTTGCTGATGCTACTGCTGCTGCTGCTGCTGCTGCTGCTACTACTACTACTACTACTACTACTACTACTACTACTACTACTATTTATATAGCATTTACTATGTGCAAGGTACTGTGCTGAGCACTTTACAATTATTATCTCATTTGATCCTCATAACCTTGAGAGGCAGGTGCTATTACACCTTTTTTGCAGAAAAAGAAACTGAGGTAAATAGAGGTTAAGTGACTTGCTTCGGGTTACACAACTGTTAAGTGAAGTCAAATTTGAACACAGTCTTCCTGACTCCAGGCCAGAGCTTCACTTCTCTGTCTCATTCTCCTTACCAACACATCTGAGTGTTTTTCAGTCATTCAGTCGTGCCTGAATCTTTGTGACCCCATGGACTATAGCACACCAGACCCTTCAGTCCTGCACTCTCTCCAGAAGTCTGTCCAAGCTCATAGTCATTGCTTCCATGACTCTCTTTATCCATCTCATCTTCTGCCATGAACTTTTCTTTTTGCCTTCAATCTTTCCCAACATCAGGGTTTCTTCCAATGTATCTTATCTTCTCATTATATGGCCAAAGTAATTGAACTTCATCTCCTGTATTTGACTTTCCAGTGAATGGTTTAAATTCATTTCTTTAGGTATCACCTGATTTGATCTCCTTGCTGTCCAAGGGACTCTCAAATACCTTCTCCAGCACCATATTTTGAAAGCATTGATTCTGCTGTGCTCATTTCTCAAATTATAGCTTTAATTATACAGACCTTTGTAGGCAAAATGATATCTGCTTTATAATATGCTATCCAGATTTGCCAGAATTTTCCTTCCAAGGAGCAAGTGTCTTTTAATTTCGTAGCTGTAGTCACTGTCTGCAGGGTTCTTCAAGCCCAAGAATATAAAATCTGACACTGCTTCCATTTCTTCTCTATTTGCCAGAAATGTCAAAACATTGCTTTTCTATGTAAGTGGATCACTTAAACTTTGTCACATTCAACAATTGAGATATGGTTATTTCAGAAGAAAATTATTTTCACTTGGATTTCCCTAACAGTGATTTAAGGATACATAGTAAAATTGAACACAAAAAGATATTCACTGATCAGAGGGATTCATTATAAAAGAGATATGAAACATTGCAATGACAAAAATAACATGGAATCAAAATAAAAACAATCCAAAGACACATTAAGGAGAGATATTTGTTCTGTTGTCTTTCATTTTTGAAGAGGACCAATGACGTCAGGGTGATGTCTTGACTTACACATGGATTGAATTTAATCGAGGTAGAGTTACACAAATCTGTCAGTCTTACTCTTTCTCTGAGAGTCATGGAAGTCTAGTGGCAAGACAAAAGACAGGATGACTGGTGATAGCCGAGGATGCAGTGGATGACCTTGATGTATTCAATGACTGACCAAGCTCTAAATGCCTCACAGTGCCTGCTTCAACTGCCTTCATAGCCCTAAGATCAAATTGTTCTCCCCAAGGTCACTGGCCTAGAGGTGGGGGCAGTTTGTTGTTTTAGAGGGGAAGATACAGAAACTTCTTAATCTTCTAAGTTAATTGTTAGCCTGGAGGTCTGAGATAGGGTGAAATCTGTTTACCTTTTGGTTGTCTTTACATAAGAACTTGAGTAAAGAAAGGCATAACAGTTAGATGTGAAATGATGACTTAGTTGAAAATGAGATTACTCATGTTAAGAAAGAGAAAATAGAGTTCTACCCTTTCTTGGCCACTATACTTTGAGCCAGTTGAAATCTGCTGTTCCAAAATTTGTTTAATATATCATTGTCCAGATTTCCCTTCCTGATCTTCACAGATTCCAAGTTGGAGTCATAAATTGCCTTTAAGGGTCTTAACATTTCTACATTAGCAGCTAGCTCTGTTCATTGGTAAGAATAGGATCCAGAAACCAGGGTTCCTCTAATTTTTGAGGAATGAAATTATTATCCTTTAGTAGAGATGGGATGACTATTTGTTGGGGATATTTTGTGATACAAATTTGTACAACTATCAATTTTGGTGCTTGGGACACAGTAAAACAAATTGTACACTCAAACCAGCTGAGTAATATATTATGTAGCTAGGTGGTGCAGTGGTTAGAGTGCTGGACTTGGAATTAAGAATACTTGAGTTCAAAGCCTGCGTTGGACATTTATTAGCTCTGTGACCCTGAGCACATCATTACCTTTTTCAGCCTCAGTTTCCTCTAATGGAAAATAAGAGGGTTGGGCTCAATAATTTCTACCATATCTACCTTTCAGTTCTGAAATCTGTGCAGCACTGACATAAGAAATAATTAAGACAAATTCAGTTGAGCAGGAGGTAAGACTCTGGGACAGAGGGGCAATCTCATGGAGATCCTAGGATATGGATCTGTAATGGGAGACATGTCAAGACATTGCTCCATGGAGGGGAGATAGAGATCTTCCAACACCAGCCCGATAGGAGGAGGTATTAGGGAATGAGACAGTAAGAGAAATAAGTATTTATATAGTACCTACTACATACCAGGCACTATGCTGAGTACTTCACAAATATCATCTCAATCCTCACAACAACTCTACTTCTTATCCTCATTTTACACTTATGAAGCTGAGACAGAGATTAAGTGACTTGCCCAGAGTCACGCAGCTAGTAAGTATCTGAGGCCCAATTTCAACTCAGATCTTCTGACTCAAGGCCCAGTGCTCTAACCAGTGTACCACCTAGCTGCCTCTAAGATACTGTGAGCCATATGGGGGGGATAGTACTACCCAAGGATATGAAACAGGCTGTGACTGGGCCAGGTAGGTGCTCACTTGAGATTCAGCCACTTGGAGGGACAGATGTGACATCTGGTAGTTTCCTATTTCAGTTAATCTTGTAAACTAGGTGCTGAGCTTTGTTGTGTCATTGTTGTTGAAGGAGTGCAAATTCTGTCAAAATGCAAATGTGCCAAATTAAAAATCTTTTAAAATCATCATTTAAAATTTTTACATCCTCTCAGTGAGTTTGCCCAAAAACAAGGCCCCTATTGTCCTACGCTTGTCACAGCTTTGCTGATTAGCTAGGGATTCGGGGTCCATGACCTCTAACATCTCAATCAGCTGTAAGATTATAATATAATTTATATATGTTGCATCCTGACATCTAGTGGCATGTAATGGGAATCTAGCACCTGGAGCAATCATAAGTGAAGTAAGTAAAAGGATGGGGACTCTGAGAGATATAGACAGAAATATGTTTGGTCATCTCAGTGAGTCCAGGTCTCCACATTATGATGCCAGAGTCACATTCAAACACATTTACAGGAAGTGTTATTTAGCAGTAAGATAAACCAAAAACCCAAGCCATTTCTAGGGGAATTAATTTCTCCATTTCAATCAATCAATAAACATTTATTAATCATCAATAATGTGCCAGGCACTGTGCTAAGCTCTGGAGATACAAAAAGAGGCAAAAGATAGTCCTTGCCCTCAAGTAGATTACAATCTAATGGGGGAGACAATATCCAAACAAAAATATATGAAACAAGCTATATACAACAAAATAGCAAATAATTAATGGCGGAAGACACTGGAATTAAGAGGGGTTGGGGAAGGCTTCCTGTAGAAAGTAGAATTTAGTTGGGACTTATAGGAAACTAGGATTATCAGTATTCAGAGTAGAAAAGGGAGAGTGTTCCAGGCAGAGCATACAACCAGAGAAAATGTCCAGAGTAGAGAAATGTAGCTTTTTTGAGAAACATCCAGGAGGCCAAGTGTCATTGCACTGAAGAATACTTTTTGGGGAGTAAAGTGTGAGAAGGCTGGAAAGGTGGGGGGGGGCTAGGTTATGAAGGACTTTGAATGATGAAATAGATCATTTTGTATACGCTTCTGAAGGCAACAGGAAGCCACTGGAATTTATAGAGTATAGAGGTAACATAAGCAGACCCGGGTTTTAGAAAAATCACTTCAGTGGCTGAATGGAACATGATTGGATTGAGGAGAGACATGAAGGAAGTAGACCCATCAGCAGGCTATTGACAATCAAGTTCTGGAGTGATGAGGGCCAGCACTATAGTGGTGGCAGTGTCAGAGGACCTAAGGGGATGTATTGGAGAGATGCTGCAGAGGTGAAATCAGCAGGTCTTGGTAACAGCTTGGATAGTGGGCAACCAAATTGGATAACTGGATTCTTCTTTAAAGCCAGTTCCAATGGGTTTGACATTATTTTTCATCATCTGTTTTAAGGTCTCCCTAGAACATTATGTTTATTCTTTATTCCCTGCTTGTTTAAACAATTGCTACTTTTTCTTGAACTTGGCCATTGTCAAGCTCCCTGGCTCCAAGCTTTGCCTCATTAGCCTTTATTGCTGGCAGAATTCTCTCATCCAGATTACCTTCTCCATGTGCTTCTTTGCATCTTTGCTTCTTCCTTGGTACTCAGTTCTGCATTCTCTAAATCCTTAATCCCTTAACTGATTCAGTGTTAGCTCATGACTATTCATTTTTGCTGTTGTTTGATCACCAAAATCTGCTGCTTCCTTCTACAGAGATTGGTCCCACCTTTACCTCTACCCAAACTGCCAAATATCTTATTCAGAGCCCAAATATCTTCTATTTGGCCTATTGTAGTCTTCTCACTCAATTCACTACTTCTTGCCCCTCCTACCTTCAGGTTTTTCTAAACCAGAGTGATAACTATTTGAACAAAGCAACTTATATTTATATAGTGCTTTGAGGTTTATAAAGTACTTTACGTATATTATCTCATATGATCTTCAAAACAATCATTTGTGATAGGTACAACAGACATCATCCCCATCTTATTGATGAGCAAACAGAGATTCTAAGACTTAATGTGACTTATTTGTAGTCATACAATTAATAAGATTCAGAATTTAGAAATGCAAATAGGTCTCTCCTCATTCTATGCCATGTTCTTTCCTTTATGACACAATACCTCTAAGCATCATCTCCAGAAATCATCTTATCTTAGTGTGATGCCATCCCTCTATTTTCTATCTACTTCAATATGTATGTAGCTTAAAAACCTTCCTTTTAACTCTTAAAACCTATCGTTGGCTCTCTCTACCTTCTTTTTTATTTTTAAATTATATTTTTATTTTTTAAATATATTCCAATTACATGTAAAAAATAACATTCATCTTTTAAAATTTGATTTCTAAATTCTGTCTCTCTCTAGCCTTTCTCCCAACCCTTCAAAAGGCAAGCAATATGAAATCCATTATACATGTGAAACCATGCAAAACTTCTCTCTCTGGAGGTGGTTAGCATTTTTCATCATGAGTCTTTTGGAATTGTCTTAGATCATTGTCTTAATCAGAGTAGCTAAGTCTTTCACAGCTGTTCATCCTTACAATATTGCTGTTACTATGTACAATTTTCTCCTGGTTCTGCTCATTTCACTTTGCAGCTATTCATATAAGTCTTCCCAGGTTTTTCTGAAATCATCCTGCTCATCATTTCTTATAGAACAATATTTCATCACAATCTTGTGCTACAACTTGTTTAGTCATTTCTCAATTGATGGACATCCCCTCAATTTCCAATTCTTTGCCACAACAAAAAGAGCTGCTATAAATATTTTTGTACAGATAGTTCCTTTCCCCTTTTATTTGATCTCTTTGGGATACAGACCTGTAGTGGTATTGCTGGATCAAAGGATATGCGTGATTTTATAGCCCTTTGGTGTAACTCCAAATTGTTCTTCAGAATTTTTGGACCAGTTCACAACTCTACCAACAAGGCAGTAGCATGCTAATTTTTCTACATCTTCTCCAGCATTGGTAATTTTCATTTTCTGTCATGTTAGTCAATCTGATAGGTGCGAGGTAGTATTTCAGAGTGGTTTTAATTTGCATTTATTTAATCAATAGTGATGTAGAGCATTTTTTTCATGTGGCTATTGATATCTTTCATTTCTTCTTCTGAAAATTGCCTATTCATATCCTTTGATCATTTATTAATTGGGGAATGGCTTATAGGTTTAGAAATTTGTCTCAGTTCCCTATATATATTTGAGAAATGAAGCCTGTATCAGAGAACTTACTGGAAAATGTTTTCCCAGTTGCCTGTTTTCCTCTAATTTTGGCTGCATTAGTTTTGTTTGTGCAAAAGCTTTTTAATTACATGCAATCAAAATTATCTGTTTCACTTCTTGTTGTCTTCTTTGGTCATAAACTCTTCCCTTATTTATAGATCTGATATGTAAACTCTTTATGCTCTCTTAATTTATTTATGATGTCACCCTTTATGTCTAAATCATTTATTCATTTTGACCTTATCTTGGTATACGGTGTGAGATGTTGGTCTATGCCTAGTTTCTGCCAATCTGCTTTCAAGTTTTCCCAGAAAATTTTGTCAAATGGTGAATTCTTACCCCAAAAGCTTGAAAATTTGGGTTTATCAAACCCTAGATTACTATGGTCATTTACTACTGTGTAAAATGTACCTAAACTATTCCATTGGTCCACCACTCTAATTCTGAGCCAGTACCAGATTGTTTTCATTACTGCTTTGTAGTACAGTTTGAAATCTGATGCTGTTAGGCTGCCTTCCTTTACATTCTTTTTCATTGTTTTCCTTGATATTAATGACCTTTTGTTCTTCCAGATGAATTTTGAATTTTATTTTTTCTAGCTCTATGAAATGATTCTTTGGTAGTTTGTTTGATATGGCACTGAAAAAGTAAATTAACTTTTATTATATTGTCGGAGCCCACCCATGAACAATTAATGTTTCTCCAATTGTTCACATCTATCTTTATTTGTGTGAAGAGTGTTTTATAATTTTGTGTTAATATAGTCCCTGGGTTTGCCTTGGCAGGTAGACTCCCAAGTATTTTATATTGTCTGCAGTTATTTTAAATGGAATTTCCCATTCTATTTCTTCCTGCTGGGTTTTGTTGGTAGTCTATAGAAATGCTGATGATTTATGTGAGTTTATTTTATATTCTGCAACTTTGCTGAAGTTGTTATAATTGGGCAAAATAACTCCTAAGAATTGCTTTAATTTCATCTTCATTGGTGGTACATTCACCCTTTTCATTTTTGATCCTAGTAATTTGGTTGTCTTTTAAATCATAACCAGTTTTATATATTTTATTTTTGTTGCTTTTTCATAAAACCCAACTCCTAGTTTCATTTGTAGGTTCAGTGGGTTGTTTTTTTTTTCTCTCTCTAACTTCTTGACTCCTCCTTAACAATATGTCCCCTACAGTTTTTATGGAATCATAGTTAGAAAAGACTTCCTTAATCATCCAATCCACCCCTTACCAGAAAGAGTTCCCTCCACAATATGCCAAAAAGCAATAATCTAGAATGTCCTTGAAAATCTCCCATGATGAGGACTTCACAACCCACCCAGACAACCCATTCCATGTTAGGGACCTATACTTTACTGCTGTGGGTCTGTCCTGGCTTTGGACATTACCTACCTTTCCTCTCACATCCCAAAATGCCTTCCCTTATTCACATTAAAGCAATGTGCTTGACATTGCGGGGGTTATAAGAGGAGTATAGGTATAGGATGCTACTTCTGTCCTTGTGGAACTTATGATCCAGTCTCTCTCAGAATAATGTGGTACTGACTACAATTGTAATGACAGGTCAGAAAAGGGAGAAGTGAGTGTGGATTCAACTGTGAGCTCTGGGATGTCAAGGAATGTTCTTGAAGTCCTGCAGTGTATCTTACATGTAGAGGATGATTTTAAAATATTTGTTGAATTTGTTGAATTACTTTGGGTTGGAACAGCTGCAGATGTCTTCATGTAGCTAACACAATTTGATCTGGTCCTTAAAGGATTTGATTGGGCAAAGAGGATATTCTAGGAAAACCAAAAAATATATGTAAAGATGTAGAGACAAGAATGAGAATGGCATTTATGGAAGATAATGAAATTAGTGCTCTAGATCAGGGGATCTTAACCTGTTTGTGTCCCATGGACCCCTTTGGCAGCCTGAGGAAGCCTATAGACCCCTTGAAGAATAATGTTTTTAGATGTACAAAATACATAGTATTATAAAGGAAACCAATTAGGGTAAAATACTATGTAGTGTGTATGTATGCATGTGCATGTATAAATATATGTATTACACATATATATATACATATAATATGCATTTTTTTTTAACATTCACAGATCCCAGGTTAAGATCTCTTTTTATATACGTCAGAGAGTGCATATCAAGGAGTAGTAGAGGATAAGATTAAGTGGTTAGAGGATTGGCCACATCATGGAGGCTATCCAAAGTCAGACACAGGAATTTATACTTGTGGTGGTGGGCAATAAAGAGCCATTGTGGGTTGTTGGGCAGATAAGTGATAGGATGAAAGTTTTCTTTAAAAAAGATGAGTCTGACCTTCTGATGAGTTTAACTAATATCAGAGAGATCAGCACAGAGATTGTGGCAGCTTCGAAATTCTATGGTTTTCTGACTTTATTTGTAAACTCTCATTTCATTGCTGCCTATGTAATTTATAAAGACCCAGTCAATGGTCTCCAGAGTGGTGAATGGAGACAATATGAAGGATTTGTGGAAAGATGTGGACAGGATGAGAAAGCCCATCCATTGGAGTGTCAAAGCATGCCTGAATACAAGATTGGTTAAAATGAGGCATTATTAGTTCACTGCTTTAGTCTGTGGATGACTTCTTTTTATCCCAAATAGATTCAAAGACTTGAGCACCTTTTGTTCAAAGTTGTCTTAATTCTCTACAGAAAGAAGCTAAAAAATCATGACTGGGCTTTCTAAGAAATATATGAAGGAGATTTTTGATACCAGTAAACTTAGAGATTTGCTTCCTAATAATTAACTCAAATAGTATCTCTGAGACTGGGAGACTCCCCCTTAATTAGATAGCTAATTATTCAGACTCTTGGGAAAATCTGAAAAAGAAACAGCAGGCTATGTGGCTTGGCAGATTAATGAATTCCTGGAAAAAACAAATTTTGTATGTGTGTGATTCAGGGGGTCGTTTAAGTAATAATTTTCAGATCCTAAAAATCAATATAAATTAATAGGAAAATAACAGGCAAGTAAACAGGCATTGATTTGGTGAAACAAATAGAATGCTACAACTGAAGTCAGGAAGATATGAGTTCGAATTTGAGCTTAGATGCTTACTAACCATGTGACTCTGGGCAGTCTACCTCAGTTTCTTCATCTGTAAAATGGGGATAATACCAACTCTCAGTGTTGTCTTGAAGATCAAATGAAATAATATTTGTAAAGTGCTTAGTAACACTTAAAATATTTTATAAATGCTAGCTAGCTATTATCAAAAAGCCTGTTTAATTCAGGAAACATTTATTAAGTACTTACTGTATATAAGCTCTGGGCTTCAATTGAATTGCATTCTAGTGGTGTTATATGACTTGTGAGTCATAGAATTCTATGGTATCTTATGAATTAAAAGTAAAGAGAATCATAGAGAAGCTCATGGGGAGTGTGAGCAGGTTGCAATGTGAAGTAAATGAGGGATTTTGAAGAACCATTTGAAGGCAACGAATGATTGAGAAGGGGTTGATCATAAGAGAAGAATGAGAAATAATCATTAGATAGGCCATGCCCTCCATTAGTATCCTTGTGATGCCAGGAGAAAGTGAGAAAGGCCATCAGAATGTTGGGCAGATCTTCAAGTGGTATGCTTATGGGATGACATAGATAAAATTGGCACAAGATAGGCATGCATGGAGAGCTTACAACCCACAGCCTTAAAAGGAACATTCACATCAATGACATCACAGGTCCGGTTGATCATTTGAGATGTGAGACATCGCTGCTGAAGAGACAAAGACAAAAATTAAGGAGCTACTGGGAATTTGCAACACGTAATTAGGTAAGTCTATAAAGTAGTATATCATAAACCCAATGTTACCTAGGTGCTTGAGGCCAAGAGAGAGTTTTGATCCTAAGGAAAATCACTAAATTAGACCGTCTAGATTGTTATACACTAACTTCACAATGTACTCTGTGCACTATACACTCTGATTGGTAGGTGTGTTTGGGGCTCATCAAATTCGAAAAGTCTGGGAGAATTTTTGGAGGAGTAAATATGAGGCACTTAGGCAGTGTAGTGGATAGAGAGAGCTCTGGCCCTTGAATCAAAAAGACCTGAGTTCAAATCTGCCCTCAGAAACTTATTAGTTATATGACACCAGGTAGGTCACAGAATTCCTCTTTGCTTCAATTTCCTTATCTGCAAAACCTGAATAACTATAGCACATAACTCTAGAGTTATTATGTGGATAAAATAAAATAATGTATGTAAAATGCTTTGCAAACCTTAAAGCACTAGGTAACTGCAAGCTATGCTAGGTATGTGAAGTCTATGGGGATGACAAACAGCAACATGGGAAGTACAGATGTCTAAGAATTGTGGTGCTTGGAGGGAGACATAGACAGAAAGCAGCTCATGCAGAAATGGCATCCCTGAGCTCCACATCCCAAATGGACTCTTAGAGTAGCTATAGATCAAAGTGAGAGGCTTCAGTTTGTTCAACCAGAGGCAAATTGTGTTTTCTACCCTGTGAGGCCAAGAGTGATGAGAAACTGATGAGTCAGCACAACTCAGGCTCTAGGCTATGTCATCAATGCTGTGAGTTTGAACTCAGGTGCCCCTCTCCTGCTGTGTTGAAGACAAAAGGGATTTTACTCCTGATCTCCTTTGAAGCTGTGGGAGGTAGTCACAATCTCAGGGTGGATGGGGGCTAAGAACATTTACCACCAAACCCACTTTCTGCTAGTCTGTTACACTCGTCTTTTGCTTTGAATTCATGTGCCATCTGGCCTGGTCTGGCAAAGCATCATTGGGTAGGGGCGTACAGCCATGGCTTTAATAAATTCTGACCCTAAATAGCATATCAAATTTGGAGGGTAGTGAGGCATCCCACAGCCATGTGGTAAACCTGTGTGTGGTGGTGATTTGGGGGTAAAGGAGTCGATGCTACAGATAATAGAAGATCATTTGAAGTAGAAATGAACACCAGCAAAAGGAGAGGGAAGAAGTCAGAAAAGAGACTATTTTTGTGGGGGATCCTTTATATTTTGTCAACATGATCGTACTCAATAACTATATAACGCAAACCAATCATGAAGTATCTAAAATAAACATGAGTCATGTAACTGCTCTGACTTTCTTGCTCAGGATCTGATAACAACATCTGGTCTAGAAGGCTATGAGCTAGGAAGGAACCATACTGCCGCAACTAAGCTCCTTCTCCACAGCTCCAAAATGGCCACGTGGGACAGAGGGTAACCGGAAAGGTAGCTGATGTATGTCACTTGCCAAAATCAATCAGACCTTCCCTCTAAACTGCTGCACCAGGTTAATTATACTACCTGCTCTGAAAAGCAGGCAACTTCAAGGCTGGATGAGAATCACTGAGGAACATTTCTTCTCTTAAGTTACATATGCCCATGCACTGCTTGCTATACTTTAAATTTTCTCTCATTTTTCCCAATTTTCTTGGCTTCTAGTCTCTAGGAAAAAAGGTGATAAATCTATGATACATTTATCTTATATAAAAAAGTAAAAAGTGAAGGAAAGAAGGGAAGAAAGAATGGAATGAGTGAAGAAGGGAAGGAAGAAGAAAAGGAAGGAAAAAAGGAAGAAGGGAGGGAAGGAAAGAGAAAGGGAACAAAGAAATGAATTAACAAAGAATGAAAGGCCCATCAGGCTAACCTGCATTTAAATTCTCTTATAAGGTCTTTCAAAAGTAATCCCAACCAAATCAATGGAAATAATAATAGCTGATGTTTACTTAACATTTTAAGGTTTACAAACATCATCTCACTTTATATTCACAACAACCCAGTGAGGCATGTATTACAAGTATTATTCATTTTCTCTAGTTGTTCAGATGAGAAAACTGAGGCTCAGAAAAGTTAAGTAACTTGCCCATGGTCCCATATGATGATAGTGTCAGAGGTAGGATTCCAACTTGGGCCTCTTCTTACTCTAGATCTGCCATGGTGTCCACCACACCACCATTTTCTCTAATAGCAGCTATTTCATGAAATAATTATTTATTGTTGTTGTTGAGTCATTTCAGTTATGTCCAACTCTTTGTGACCCCATTTGGGGTTTTCTTGGCAAAGATATTGGAGTGATTTGCCATTTTCTTCTCCAGCTCATTTTACAGATGAGGAAACTGAGGCAAACAGGGTGAAGTAACCTGACCAGGTTCACACAGCTAGTATGTGTCTGAGATCAGATTTGAACTCAGGTCTTCCTCACTCCAGGCCCAGAGCTCTAGCCACTGTGCTGAATTACTACCTTTTGTACTCTTGTGACATGTTAATCTTTCCTTAATTCTCAGCTCCTATGTTCCCACCTGGAAAACTCCATGCTCAGTAGCCTCCAGGGTCCTGCGACACCTCCCCCAGCTTCCAATCTTGCAGAAGTTCCTCTCTGGGCCAGCAATACTCTATCACGGCCCCTGGCATCCTCACTGCTCCCAGCAGACTCGCCAGACGGTTTCTCTTGGCTCCTTCTGCAGTCTCCTGCTGCTTCCTATAGGGCAGTCCACGTTTGGCTTTCTCATCCTCATCCACAAAGTTATTTTTTCATCAGTTGTGGCCAAGAACCCTTCTTTGTTGAGCCAAAATTTTTCTATGTCCTTGGGCACAGTCTTCCACCTAGGGGAAAAGTCTTTAGAGTTCTCCTTAGCTGGCAGGAGGTGCAACTCTCCCTGTATCACCTCACAGACCTTGTACAGCATCAGATCATGACTTTCTTCTACTCAGTTTATTTTCCTTTTCTCTCGCTTCAGATGAGGCCCAGCTATTAATTCCATGTTCAAATATGAGAACAACAAATGTTGATGTGCTTTATCCTTCTGACACCTGGATGGAGCAATAGGGGTCTTCTACTCCCTACTTGTTTAGGAGAAAAGAAAGCATCCTCATTTTCCAGAATTAGCTCCATGAAGCTATTGTTCTAAATAGCCCAGCCTTTAAACAACCTTTATTAGTAACTACTTTGAGGAGGGATCAAGGAGGATTGTGCTTCTCCCAGTTCTCCCTTCTTCATGCCCTTGAGCAGATACTATTTGTTTTGAGAGAAGGAGAAAGGGAAAGAAAAAGAGAGGGAGGGAGGGAGGAAGGAAGGAAGGAAGGAAAGAAGGAAGGAAGAAAGGAAGGAAGGAAGGAAGGAAGGAAGGAAGGAAAAATGAAGGAAGGAAGGAAAGTGGGAAGAGTCAAGCACTTGCTGTGCAACAATTATACTAGTTCCTTTTTTTACTCAAACACAGTGAAAAATTTAAATATATATACATTATATATATATATATATAAATATATATAGATATATATATATATATATATATATATACTTTTTATGTTAACATTGATGGCTTGAGGAATTCTGTTTACAAAAAAGGTTTGCTATGACTTGTAAAAAATCACTCTGTTTCACACTGTGGAACCATCTGGTGTCAGAAAAATCATACAAGTGACTCTGAGTGCTGCAGCCATCTGTGTTGAAGCAGGACACCAATAAAACAAGAAACTGAGAAGTTCTTTTAATAATTGTGAGTATTAGGTTAATCAGTAGGACCTAATAGAGATAGAGAGAAAGACAGAGAGCCAGACAAGATCTCTGGCCTCATGCAACTTAGAACCTAAGAGAAGAAAAATATGATGGTAACAGAAAGCAATGCTAAGCTTTTTTTTTTACTTTTGATCACTTACTATATAAAATACGAACTCCTCAGCTTGTCCCTCCAAGTGACCCAACACTACTACATTTCATCACCCTTATTGATTTATCCTCTTTGATTTATCATTACTTCCCTCCATGATCTTTCACCCTAAACTAATCACTCTTAACTCTTTCAGTTACTCAGATTCTCAGGAGCTACATAGCACTTGCTTTTTCCCAATGAAGGTTTTCCATGAGCCGTTCCTCTCATTTGACATGTTCTACTCTCTCTTCTGACAATCATGCCCATCAGACCTTTCAAAATAAGGCTTTAAACCCACCCTCTCCAGGAAAACTTTTTTTTAAAATCAGTTTGAATTCTAATGAATTCCGATCGCTCTTCTACTTTTTGTTTTCTCAGCACTTACAGTCTCAGTTTACAGTATGAGGCAACTGCTACCATGTTGTTTTGCAAGTACAACATACTCTAGTTACCCATGGCTTTTCCTTATTATTGAAAAACAATAAGTGCATGGGATGGTGGATAGAGGGCCAGCTTTTGAGTCAGGAAGACTTGAAATCAAACACCATCTTTGACATACACAGGCCATGTGACCTCGGACAAGTCAGGTGACTTCTCAGTGCCCTAGGTAACTCTCTAAAACTATAAATTATGAACAATTGCTGATCTGCATTGGTAGAGGGAGTTTCCTTCCTTGGAGTTCTCTACAACAATTGAATCAGAGGTCTAGAACAATATACACATATATGTATAAATGCACATGTGTATATACATATATTTATAAATAGCTATACATACATAGAAATATAATATGTATGTATATATACATACAAACATATATAACATACAGCTATTTATGTATAAATATACAGATTAGGTCCCTCAGGGGTTGAATATCACAATTCAAGGCACTCTTTGAATCATGATCCTAAACTGGTGTATTTAATTCCAGTCAGCTATAGAACCCCATTAGTTCAAAGCAAAGACATTTACTGAAATGTCATAGCAAGAAGAGTAACAACAAACATGTGTCTCAGAAACCTGAGGTGTGCTGTCCCACAAATACACAATATCCTCATGTTAGTTGGAAAAGCAGTCACACGTGGAATCCACAAGTGGAATGACACATACATAGAGAACAAAGGTGGCCGAGTTAAATGCAAAGAATGGCAGCCCATTCCTCCAATGCAGCAGGGGCAGAGGGCCGCTGATGTCTTTGTATTTGTCCTTTGAACCTTGTCCCCATGGTCTCTGCTGAATGCTAATCCATTGTTGTCCTTGTTGTTGTTGTTTTTCCTGCCAAGTGCTGCTCTACTGGATCTAGTCCAATATTGTTCCAATAAGTGCTTCACTGCTTGGCCATAAGTACCACTGGCATCAGCCTCTGGCTTAGCTGATGTCTTGGATTATGGAAAGAGTTAGAGTCTACATTAGAGTCTAGGATTACCAAAAGTCTCAGTTCTAGGGCCTGCCATCTGATGATTAAGGACCAGCTCTAGGCTCTGGAATCCTTTTGACCCAGTACCTCAGCTTGACTTTGCACCAGTAGACATGGCCAATGGGAGACACCATTACCAATGGTGGAGGAGAGAGAAATGAGAGAAAGATCCCTTCCCCACCTTGATGCATTTTCCAAGAGGATTAAAGGGCAAGTGAATTGTGAATTTCATAGTTGAATTTTTCCTTTTCATCTATGGGGGGCTCCTTTCCTGATAACTCCATGATGTAATTGCTAGCAGGATGGTATTCTCTACTTTTAAACTCAGATCCTTTAGTTTTCTCAAGTCAGTGAGTAGGTGGGAAAAAAGGGGAATGGGGTAGTGCTTTTTTTTAACTAATTGGGAACTGGTTATTTAATATGCAAACGGAGCACTGAAAATCTAACCTCCTTATAAATTTTGACACTCGATTTCCTGATCAGCCTCCTCTGACCCTATATACACTTACATATATCAATGTAATATATTATATTAGGGAGGCAGCTTAGTGTAGTGGATAAGGCACTAAATTTGGAGCCAGGAAGATCCGGGTTCAAATATTGCCTCAAAAACTTAATAGCTAAGTTACTCTCAGTAAGTCCAGTAACCTCTCTGTGCCTCAGTTTTCCCATTTGTCAATGGAAACAGGTGGAATCATCTTCTAAGATCCCATCCATCCCTAAAATAATGATTATATATACAAAATCATATATGCTCACGGGAGATCTGAATGTTGTTTTTTCTTTATTATTATTATCCCATGTTTCCTACTTCAGTGCTCAATACATAAGAGATGATTTATGCTGGTTGCTAATTTTTTTCTTTTCTGTAATATATGCTTGCATTCCCCAACAGGAAAAAAAATCAGGATAGGAGGGGAAATGGTTAAAAATAAAATCCACAGATACTAATTTTCTATTATGGCTCTAGGCAAATGACTTTATCTTTCAGTACTCCCAGTAGTTCTCAAAGACAATGACTTCCTTCCTCTCTTTCTTTTTTTTCTTTTCTTTCCTTTTCTTCCCTTTTCTTTTCTTTCTTTTTTCTTTCTTCCTTTCTCTGATCAATGCATTGGCCATTCAAAATTTCAG